CTTGCTCAGGAATGACAGGCAGGTGTGAGTGCATCAGCATGCACAGTGAGGCGAAGTCTTTAGAAAGATGGCCTGGTGTTAAGAAGGACAGCAAAGAAGCCATCTCTCTCCAGGAAAAAAATCAGGGACAGAGTGATATTCTGCAAAAGGCACAGGGATTGGACTACTCAGGACTGGGGTAAAGTCATTTTCTCTGATGAATCCCCTTTCTGTTTGTTCAGAGCATCCAGAAAAAAACATGTCTGGAGAAGAAAAGGTGAGCTCTACCATCAGTCCTGTGTCATGTCAACAGTAAAGCATCCTGAGACCATTCATGTGTGGGATGGCTTCTTAGCCAAGGGAGTGGACTCACTCACAATTTTGCCTAAGAACACAACCATGAACAAAGAATGGTACAAAAACATTCTCCGAAAGCAACTTCTCCCAACCATCCAAGAGCAGTTTGGTGACGAATAATGCCTTTTCCAGAATGATGGAGCACCTTGCCATAAGGAAAAAGTGGCTTGGGGAATTAAATATTGAAATTCTGGGTCCATAGCCAGGAAACTACCAAGACCTTACTCCCATTGAGAACTTGTGGTCAATTCTCAAGAGGTAGGTGAACCCCCCGCAAATTCTAACAAACTCCAAGCATTGATTATGCAAGAATGGGCTGCCATCAGTCAGGATGTGGCCCAGAAGTTGATTGACAACATGCCAGGGAGAATTGCAGAGGTCTTGAAAAAGAAGGGTCAACACTGCAATATTGACTCTTTGAATAAACTTATTGTAATTGTCAATAAAAGCCTTTGACACTTATGAAATGCTTGTAATTATACTTCAGTGTACCATAGTGACATCTTATAAAAAGATCTACTGTACCTTGCCTAAGATTTGTCTCATTCAATGCTAGTTATGCTGTACCATACTTTCTCCATCCCAGCTACACGTCCTACCCCTGTCTCCCCTTATTTATATTCCTGTTTTCTTTCCAATAGCTTTTTCTACTCCCCCACTAGTTACCATCTCCCTCCACTAACTCCTCCTTCTTCCCCCTCCTTTTTAGAAGCACTAGAGGTTGTTACATGATATTGGATATCATTGCTATTTATTTACCACTTTTCTACATCTATGGAAAATACAAGTACCCAAAACTTTACCCCTCATTAAGGGACTCCCCTTATGTTCAGGGTGTACAGCCTCATATACTGTACATTGTCTATAGCCTCTAACTGAGTCACACATAGGCGTTTACGGATTTAATGTCTTTATATATACATACTCCGTAATAGTGAAGCGACAGTCTGGCCACAAAATGGGCATGAGAATAAAGGTATTACTTTCTGGGCAGATGGTTGCGATTGGTTACAGACCATTTACCTCTACAGTAGATAGCTCTTAACAAAGGGAACAATGCAAGGCTCACAAGGGTCAGGGACCCAGCAAAGGAATGCTTATGGAATGGCATAATTCCACTGTTCATTCGCAATATGTACTCCTTCCAAAGTGTCTTAACGGGGGTATGGTATGTGAGGTACGGGGGGTAGGATTTTAGACGATCACTTAGGTTTCTCACATACATATGAATGAAGGTCTATAAGATTTTTGGCTAATGTGAATAAAGCCTCCATATTTAGGTCCACAACTTTCCTTTTAGTCAAACAGTGTTATTAGTCTCAGCTGTCCCCAGGCCATGTGAGCTGATGCTCGGTACTCTCACTCTTTTTGTTTTGAGAGCTTGCTGCTGTGTGAAAAGGTTGACAGAAGTGCTGACAAAACACTAAAGAGGTACATGTGTTTTCTGTGTTGGAAAACTCACTAGAGGCCACCCTCTTTGTCAGGAACTGACCTGAGTTTAGATAATGGCTCGGGCAAGCAGATGTTTTGCTTTTTTTAAAGTTATAAACATGCTGTACATAGACCTTGTGTTTTAAAACTGTGGTTGTTAGCTGACTTGCTGAATAAAAGTGCAAGATCTGCCTGTACTGTTTCTGGATGTCTCTACCTTTGTCCATGGTTTATTGTTGCCACAGCAAGTTCAGTTTTCCCTTTAAAAAATATTAATAAATACATATATGTATATATATATATATATATATATATATATATATATATATATATATATATATATATATATATATATATATATATATATATATATATATAATTTTTATACTGTATATATCTATGGCTGCATAACTTCTTAATAGTTTCTTAATTCTTAATTCCAGTGTGAATATATCATGCTTGCAAAGTGTAAAGAGGAATCACAAAATGGAACCATGCAGATATTATAGCAGTAATGAGGTACTAGTTTTTCTTTTTTTTTTCTCTTTTCTTCTGTATTTGCCTTTTTATTCATTTTTCACAAGTTTGTCTTTCCTTTAAAGAATTCTGTAAGCAATCATTCACTATTTAAATATCCTAATGCCAATTAATATGTTCTCCCTAATTGTCAGATAATAGTTTAACCTTCCCAAATGGATCAGGGCTAATGTTCCATCAGATTATGACTTTTATCTGCATTCAGCTAACCTTTTCATGAATATGGTGCTAGGTATATAATTGATTGCAGATATAATTAATCCTGCGGAATTTAATCTTTGATTTTCTACCTTCTGTGATGGTTTAATTTTACTCAAAAGTGAACATCTTATTTCCCACTGCTCTAGCCATAAGGTCAATGCTTTTAATCTTGCAAAACACTCCAACAGTTCAACAAGGATCATCATTACATCTGGTAGGTTAAGCAGTGGACAGGTAATAAAGCAGAAATAGACTATTGTATGTCTATTGATATGTCTTATGGAAGTCTTAACACTTTTCAAAATGCAGTAATGCCATTACATTACGTTGTGATAGTACACATGCTTATCTATGTCTTATCACAATATAGTTTGAGAATATGCTGAAGATGGTGGTGAATGATTTTGTAATCACATTAGTTTGACTGGGTATTTTTTTGTGCTACCTGGAATTTTTTTTTCAATCAACTTTTTATTCAAAATACACAATAAGAAGTCCATGTGAGTATTTTAAATCACAAGCAAAATGCAATAAAGTACAAAGTCACAATTAAGGTACAAATAAAGTACCCAAAAGGCAAAGTTAGATACAAGGCAATTTAAGAAAAAACAAGAAAGGTGCAAGAAAAGTACAACTTATTGTGGCACTAAGGTGCTGTAGTAGTCAAGAGGAGGGTACATACCAACATTAAGTCATAAAGCGTTTCACTTATACCAATCAACCCAAACTTTCCAATTTTTATTAAATGAGTTACCAGAGGCTAACTAATGGCTAAAAGCTTTTCATATTGGTAGTTAAGATTCATTTGTGTCAAGACTTCCAAGGGGTTAGGGGAGAGATTGTTTCTCCGGTGTCTGGCAATAACCAGTTTGGCTTCCATTAGTATATGTGTAATGACTATTCTGGATGACTGTGGGAATTTATCTATTCTTAGGTGCAAGAGTGCTAGTGTAGGTTCTGGAGGGGATAACACACCTGTAAGTTCTGCATTGATATTGAATAATTTCCTCCTGTAGCTTGGTAAATTTTTACATAAACAAAAGATGAGGAGGAAGGTGCCAGGTTGTCCGCATTCTCTCCAACACAGGGAAGGTAGTGAAGGGTAGAATTTTGCTAACTGATGGGGGATTCTATACTATCTGTTCACTATTTTTTTAGTAAGTTCCCAATGGTTGGTAAAGTGGGATGCTAAATAGTTATGCCAAAATGCTGTGGGTCATTGTTGAGGATCAAATACCTCATTCAAATCCTCTTGCCATTTCAGCATAGGAGGAGATTTGATAAATTGTAGTTTGTGTTGTAGTATATGATACAATAGGGAAATACCTTTTGCACTCGTATTTGTGGACATGTAAAATTTCCACACGTTAGAATTTAGGTGTATCGAAGGCAGTGGGAATTTAAAGAGAAAAGAGGCAATTCGAGTGTACATGAATTGGTTTGCAATAGGATGATTGAATTGGACACGTAAAGCTGTTAAGAGTTTAAGCTTTTTGTTCCCTATTATTTCATCTATCCACTGAAAACCACTCTCCAACCATTGTTTTATGGAAAGATAAGGGATGAGTACTTCCAGTACTGCTATAGGGAAGCTAATTTTAGTGCTCAGATGGTCTTGTTTTGCTGGATGTAAGAGAGATTTTGAGCGATCTCTAAGCTAAGATTGGGGCCTGAGTTGGTGGAGGGAGGTGAGATATGTAAGTGGTTTCCATGTGTCCACTATTAAAAATAGGTTCAGGTTAGTAACCTCTGTACAATGTGCTTCAATTTCAACCCACAGGGCTTCAGATGGAGTTGTAAACCAATGTTTGGCCTGAGCTAGGACAGTGGGTAAATAGTAATCTTTTACGTATGATGCTCTGGATCTTCCTACTTTCCTATGTTGAATTATTTGTTATGTGTAGGAGTATCGTGCTCTTTTCCCTTGCCATAAGGAGTTAAGTATTTTATTTAAGTCAGATAGATGAAATGGTTTTAATAGAACTGGGAGTGCTTGGAACAAGTATAATATTTCTGGAAGTGTAGTCATTTGACAGGAGGCAATCTTACCATCCAAGATAGTTCAACTTTCGAAATGTGGGAGATGTCCTGATGGATTTCACTGATAAATGATTTTAAATTAGAATCTGCTATGAAAAACATTTGGTTGGTTAGAGTTATGCCAAGGTAGGGTATAGATTTATCATCCCAAGAGTAGGTATGTTGTGATTTTAGATGGGTGTTAGCGTGGGAAATGGTAAGGCCATCTAGGCCTGGGGATTTGCTGTTCATCAAGGAAAGAATTCTATGATCCAATTCGTCGTATCTCTAGTATTTAGTACTTCCAGCTGAGAAAATGATAAGGGATATAATGAAATGATAAGGAAGGAAGCTGTAGTGAAGCCAAGAATTTATGGATGGTTCAGAGGGTTGAGGAGTGGTAGTGTCATCCTTTAATATAGTAATATGTAATATAATAGTAATATGATGGACGCAAGGTGGTTCTCTCGTTCTGGGAGGACATCATATGACGTCCTCCCATTCTCACTGCGCATGCGCGGCTCAGGGAGCGCGCAGCGCGGCAATCGGCGGTGCGCTGTCCCTCGGACACAGCGGATCACTGATCACGGAAAGAGCTGAAGATGTCGGCTCGGTCACGTGATCAGCTGTGTCCAATCACAGCTGATCCCATGTAAACAGAGAAATGCTGGTTATCAGTATTTCTCTCCTCTCGAGCTGTCACGCTGTGTGCCCTGATGATCAGTGTAGCCCCAGCAATGCCACCTGTCAGTGTCCATCAGTGCCTTGTGTCAGTGCTCATCAGTGCCACATCAATGCCGCATATCAGTGCCTACCAGTGCACATCAATGCCACATATCAGTGCCCATCTGAGCTGCCTTTTAGTGTCACCCATCAGTGCCAGTCAGTGCCACCTATCAATGCCAATCAGTGCCACCTATCAGTGCTGCCAATCAGTGCAACCTATCAGTGCCGGTCAGTGCCGCCTATCAGTGCCAGTCAGTGCCGCCTAACAGTGCCAGTTAGTGCCGCCTATCAGTGCCATGTATCAGTGCTGCCTTTCAGTGCCCATCAGTGATGCCTGTCCATGCCCATCAGTGCCACATACCAGTACCTCCTCATCAGTGCCCATCAGTGCAGCCTATCAGTGCCCATCACTGTAGCCTCATTAGTGCACATCAGTGAAGGAGAAAAATCACTTATTTACATAATTTTATAACAAAAACTAAGAAAAAACTTTTTTTTTTCAAAATTTTCAGTGGTTTTTGCTTTGTTTAAGAAAAAATAAAAAACCCAGAGGTGATTAAATACCACCAAAATAAAGCTCTATTTGTCACAAAAAAATTATAAAATTTCATATGGGTACAGTGTTGCATGACCGCGCAATTGTCACAGACAGCGCGACAGTACAGAAAGCTGGAAATTGGCTTGGGCAGGAAGGGGATATAAGTGCCCTGTAGGCTTGTGGTTAAGTTGTATAGTGAGTAGTAGTAGTCAGTGGCTCTTGATGTAGGATGTATGATATGAGAAATTTTGCTTTCGCTTTTTTGATTTTTAGTCTGTGGGCCAGGAATTTGCCTGCTTTGTAATTATTGGCATAAAAATGAAGTTTACATTTTCGTAGGAAGTGATCATGTTGGGTACATAACAGTTCTCTAAGGATATGAAGAAGTTTTGAAAGCTTCATGGCTAGTGTGGTGAAAGGAGCGGATTGGTTTTGAGAGTCTAGTGTATGTATTTAAAATAAGAGGGAGTCTAATTTAGCTGTACAGAGTTTTTTTCTTAATTTGGAGTCTATTTTAATGGGCGTTCCAGTTGGTAAAGGGCCCTGTAGCCGAAAGCTGTTAAAGTGAAATAATTCTTTTAGGTGTCCAGAAATTTCTGAGTTTCTGGGTTTTGTATCACTAGATCATTGCATCTCCACAAACGCTATGTTGTAAAATCATTACCTTCTTCTATCTGTCATGTGACAGGTGCGTGATCAGACCACATTATATCACAGAGGAATCAGAAACTCTTTGCAAAAGTAACTTTTCTACCAGAAAAGAAATCTATGCAATAATATGAGTTGTGTCTTGCAGAGTAATATGAAAAGATTTTCTCAGAGTGCTGGCATCTCCAGACATCATAGAGTTCCTCCTCCTTAAGGAATTCACGTAAAGAAGAGGATAATTCCTAAGTGGGGAGGAACTATTCAGATTATGATCCACAATAGTGTTAAAGTCACCACATAGTATTATGTTCCCAGCATGCACCTTTTGTCAGGGCAGGGCTGTGGAACGGACAGGTAGGCCTAGTGGCAGGGTAACGCACTGACTGACGACAACCACCACCAACAGACCGAAGTCCCTCAGGGCGCCGAGTCTAAGTCTCAGGCTGCCCTCCACCAGGGCCCCTGATGGTGGGAATGGACTTGACGCAGCCAGGAACCAGGTCGCGGCCCCCCGAGACCCCCCCGGCTGCGGTAATGGCCGCCGCCAATGGCGTGTGGCTGGTAGGAAATTACAATAGCGTAGTCAGGCAGGCCGGGTCGACAACAACGGGACAAAACGGTACAGAACAGTAGACAAGAATCACAGGTCACATGCCGGGTTCAGCAATGGAAGGTCAGATCAAAGGAAAACACAGAGAATGGTCTAGTCACAGGCCGAGTCAGATACCAGAAGTCACAAGAGTATGAACAGAGCTGTAGCAGCACAAAGACACAAGTGCAAAGAGCATGTGCGGATCACAGGCTTATATGTACTCAGCCACACCCCTCTGGGGGATGGACCTCAGAGACCTGAAGGCATAAAAAGACTCCCACCATGCTCTTTGCAGAGGATAACCCAAGATGGACGCCAGTACATGAAGCCGCACAGTCTCTGGAAAACCACATAGTATTATGTAGGACCTTGACACCTTTGAAATATTTTTTAGAATTTTCTGAAGAAATCTCAGTTAGTGAGTGTTGGGTGCATAGACAGCTGTCAGTGTAAATGGTAGGTTGTTGATAATACAGACCAAGATAATATTCGGACCCTCATGGTCAATGATGGAGGATTTAAGGGTGGAAGAAACCGAGTCCCATATTGCTATGAGTACTCAGCTCTTCTTCGCATGAAGGCTGTGAAGACATGAGGATAGTTCTCATTGGGAGCATTTATGGGATGAATTCTTGTGAAAATGTGTTTCTTGCACTGTTAGTACATCTGCATTCTGATGGAGCACTTCTTGCCATATGGATCTTCTTTTAACTGGATGATTCCTCTTGCATTAATAGAGAGAAGTTTAATACCCATAACTTGGTAGCCAAATTATATTGATAGTGGCTGGGCTGGGTTGGCATTATTGAAGTAAAGGAAAAGGTATGTAAGGCTGAGATATTTGGTTATGTATGACAAGACCACTTTCAAAATGTCCTGGATGGAGATTAGAAGAGTTAAGCAGCATGCCATTAATAAGGCCATGGGTTTCCCTCACACATACCTTTTCAGGCAACAGAAGATAATAAGCTATACAATATGTGTGTAGAACATGGACTAATCCATCCTGAACTTCAAAAGACCAAACTGTGGTCAGTAATAACAAGGAAACAAAATATTAAGAAAAAGGTCCAATATGGAATAGGCAGTAAATACTGCCACTACAGAGGGGGACTTGGTTTGATGACAGGTACCTCCGGCATCTGGGGAATCTGACTGAAACAGTACAAAAGAAATTTAGTAAGCCTCAGGACTCTTTGGGAAAAATTATGCCACAGTGCAAATCCTCTTCAATCTTGTTGCATAAGGTCTGGAATTGGCCATTTTGCTTTGGCATTGTTGTGGTTCGGCATGGAGGAAATTATATTCCAGGTACGCAGGAGGGAAAGGCCTTCATCCAGAGAGAAAATGAAATGGTTAGTGTTTTTGCAGGTAATATTGAACTTAGCCGGATATTTTCAGTGGTAATTTATTCTGTTGTTTCGTAGAGCTTTGGTTATTGTAGATAAATGTGTGCATTGTAACTGGGTGTGTTAACAGAGGTCTGGCAGATTGGCTGCGTGTTCTGGCAAGTTGTCTGCATGATGGAAGGCTTTAAAGAGTTTTTCTTTTACCAAGAAAGATTTAACTCTTAGCAGCGCATCTCAAAGTACGTCATGTGGCAGAAACAATGGTTTAGGTAATCTATGGACCCTTCCAATAGTAAGATCAGCAGATGTAAGAGATGGGATGACTGCCTTGAAGAGGTCCTAGACATAGTGAGGCAGTTGATGTGTTAATACTGTCTCTGGGGCCCTATGGATTTTTAAGTTGTTCTGATGAGATCGGTCATCAAGGTCTGCTATTTTTGATTGCAATCTGCATAAGAAGAAGGAAGAAGTATATTCATTCATTTTGGTCTACATCCAATGTACTCTATCTCCCAATTCATGCACCTCAGCCCTGCATTGCTGAATACATGTGATCATATTGGACTGTAAAGATGATCTCAAGGACATCATCATTTCTTTCAGAGTCACATCTGAGATAGGTTGCCCTGTTGTTGGGAATTGGGCAATGGGGTCTGGGTGTGCTGCTGAATAAGAGTGCTGTAGGTGGGGATCACCTCCATATTCAATGTAGCAGTGCCAGTGTTGCCAGAGTCGCTGCTCACGTTAGATTTGACTGGATTTCTGGTTGTGGGAGAAGAGGAGTTGGAGTCTGAAGAGGAAGAATGCATGAAACCTGCAGTGGTGCCCACATTCTCCTCAACTACTTCTGTGTGAGCTGCTTGAGCTGTCACTAGAGGTCCGGCAGTCGTCGCTGGGAATAGTCTGTTGCTGCCATTTTGTTGAAGCCCATAACAGGGAATGGGTAGGGGTACAAGTACCTCTTACTCATTCACAAGGGGGGGCAGCATCATGGTGCCCCCTTATTTAAATGGGTACCCTGATGCTAATGAGCCCCCCTTCCCACAGATCCCCACAGACAAGGGTTGGGGGAAGAGGCCTAGTAAGCTGTAGGGGGGGGGGTCTCGGTCGCCCTCTTTTCTCCTGGCCTGCCAGGCCTGTGCTCAGATCAAGGGTCTGGTAGAAATTCAGGGGTGACCCCATGCTTTTTCCTCCCTTTTTTTGGGTTGGGGTTCCTCTTAAAAGGTCTACCAGGTCTAAAAGACCTGATAAGGCTTTTAGAGGGAACCCCATGCACTTTAAAAAAAATGTTTTACTGTGGGGTCCCTCCTAACCTTCTTACCAGGCCTGGTAAGGATTGGGGGGGCCCACGTTGGTTTTTATTAATGCATTTTTTGTTTTATATTCTTCCCTCTGTCTTACATAGTGTGGGGTGGGGACCGTAACCCTTCAGAGTTATTCTTGCGAGTGCAGTATTGGACTCTGCTCTAAAAATTTTACTTATATATGCACCTGTCACAGAGTGTGTTTGAAAAAATGGGCCTTAGGAGTTGGTGCCTCTTCACTGTAACCCCTTACAATTACTCTTGATGAACACAGGAATCGGCACTGCTCTAAAAACTGAATTTATATGCACCTGTCACGCAGGTGTGGAAAAATTAGGCCTTGGGTGTTGGTGGAGTCTGAACACTGTAACCCCTCACAGTTACTCTTGGTGAGTGCAGGAATGGGCCCCGCTGTTAAAAATTGTTAAAAATTTGAAAACAATTGCAAAAAAATTTAAATTAGATTCACCTGTCAAGCAGGTGCAGAAAAATTGGGCCTTGGGTGTTGGTGGTACCTGAACACTGTACCCCTCACAGTTATTCTTGCTGGGTGCAGGAATGGGCCCTGCTGTTAAAAATTCTTATAAAATTTAAATTACATGCACCTATCAAACAGGTGCACAAAAAATTGGGCATGTGTGTTGGTGGTTCCCTAAACCAAAAACATTGTTAGAAGCTAGCATAATCAGGATTCGAATAGGCAGCATAGGCAGTCTTTAAGGGATCCCAGATCCCTAACAAATGTAATCAGTTACATCAGCATCAGGGGCTTGATAGCTGCTGTTGATCCAGAGAACTGATTCATTTTGATAAATGTCAGCCGGTCAACAGAATCTGTGGACTTGATTGCATATTGAGCAAGTTCTGGCCAGTAATCCTTCCTCAAGACCCAGTAACCCAGCTGATCCTCCATTGGAAAGGT